TTTTAAAAAATTTTATATCATTAGATTGGGATAAACAGTATATCAAGCTGCATGCCTCCAACCACAATATTTGAAGAAAAACTTGAGTAAAATTTGTGCGCTTTGCGCCAAAAAAATCTCCATTCCGTGATTTAGTCATACTGGTTCAAAGTGAAAGGAGCAGCAAAATTTCGGTACTATGGTGGCACAACAGTGACATGTGTGTGTTTTTATTTATCTCGTGCGCACGAGATACTATGTCGTGGCCACGAGTTACTAAGTCTTGGTCACGAGATAGCTAAGTCGTGGCCACGAGATAGCTAAGTCGTGGACACGAGATACTATGTCTTGGCCACGAGTTACTAAGTCGTGGCCACAAGATAAATAACCAATCAGATTACACCATTTATATGAATTTCCCTAAATAACTATACATGTGCTATAGTACAAGGATGCCCCTAATTCACCAGCCTGTAAAAGTGCCATTTATACAACTTATTGACTGGCCAATAATTTTACATTTAGCGTCACTGTGACCCTGATTTTTGACCCTCGAAATTATTAGATGTCATCTACTGATCAGGTGCAATGATCTTTCTGGGCTATATAAACCTTGACTTATCCATTCTAAATTATTCACCAGACAAGGATTTTACCTTAATTATAGGCTATCTACTGTCCATGGGCAATGTCCCTTCCAAATAAAATAAACCAGGACTTATTCTATTTAAAAAAGGTTAACAGGTCATAGTCCGTACAATTTACCAATTCGATCACAAAATTGTCCCAACAAAGGGCAATAGTCAAAATTAATGTCTGATGGGCCCTGGAAGGTGACTTAATAATATGATCCTAAAGACAAGTTCAAAGTGAATATCTTCAGTATTTTCAAAGATTAATGTTGCATGTAAAAGTAAATTTTTAAGTTTTAAAAAATTCATAATATATGTAGTGTATTCTGATTGGTTAATTATCTCGTGCCCACGACTAAGTTATCTTGTGGCCACGACCTAGTAACTCGTGGCTACGACATAGTATCTCGTGGCCACGACTAAGCTATCTCGTGGGGCCCCACGACTTAGTAACTCGTGGTCACGGCATAGTATCTCGTGGCCACGACTTAGCTATCTCGTGGCCACCACTTAACAACTCGTGGCCACGACATAGTATCTAGTGGCCACGACTTAGCTATTTCGTGGCCACGACATAGTATCTCGTGCGCACGAGATACATGTCACCTTTGTGCCACCGTACGGCTTGCAACGAATATCATCTATTTATTGCGAGCATGGGCCGTTTGGTTGAGGTGTATGTTATGGCGATGTAAGAAGGACGTCATCACACTTTTTGTACTTGATTTCGTTCGTCATCGCAAATAGTGTTATAAATTGCGTTGTCTATTACCACGACAGTGTGTTCCTAAAAAGGGGCCGTAAAACAGTGAGGTTACTTTATTTAAAGTAGGGCGGGCAAAAAGTTCTCTTTTCAGTCAAAGTAGTACATATTATTGCATTTTTAAATTCGTAGTGTTTTTGTTTTGTTTTAAATACTGACTTACACTTAACACCTTATTTTACTGTCCCCAGTACATGTTGCTGAGGTTGTAGTTGTTGATGGTGAAGTCGTAGTTGTTGATGGGGGTTGAAGTTGTTGATGGTAGGGTTGTAGTTGTTGAATTTGGTTGTTGTTGATGAGGTTGTAGTTGTTGATTCTAAGGTTGTAGTTGTTGATGCTAAGGTTGTAGTTGTTGATGCTGAGGTTGTAGTTGTTGATGCTGAGGTTGTAATTGTTGATGCTGAGGTTGTAATTGTTGATGCTGAGGTTGTTATTGTTGATGAGGCTGTGATTGTTGATGCTGAGGTTGTATTTGTTGATGAGGTTGTAGTTGTTGATGAGGCTGTAGTTGTTGATGAGGTTGTAGTTGTTGATGCTGAGGTTGTAGTTGTTGATGAGGCTGTAGTTGTTGATGCTGAGGTTGTAGTTGTTGATTAGGCTGTAGTTGTTGATGCTGAGGTTGTATTTGTTGACGAGGCTGTAGTTATTGATGCTGAGGTTGTAGTTGTTGATTAGGCTGTGATTGTTGATGCTGAGGTTGTAGTTGTTGATTAGGCTGTAGTTATTGATGCTGAGGTTGTAGTTGTTGATTAGGCTGTAATTGTTGATGAGGCTGTAGTTATTGATGCTGAGGTTGTAGTTGTTGATTAGGCTGTAGTTGTTGATGTTGAGGTTGTTATTGTTGATTTAAGCTGTAGTTGTTGATGTTGAGGTTGTAGTTATTGATTAGGCTGTAATTGTTGATGAGGCTGTAGTTATTGATGCTGAGGTTGTAGTTGTTGATTAGGCTGTAATTGTTGATGAGGCTGTAGTTATTGATGCTGAGGTTGTAGTTGTTGATTAGGCTGTAGTTGTTGATGTTGAGGTTGTTATTGTTGATTAAGCTGTAGTTGTTGATGTTGAGGTTGTAGTTATTGATTAGGCTGTAATTGTTGATGAGGCTGTAGTTATTGATGCTGAGGTTGTAGTTGTTGATTAGGCTGTAGTTGTTGATGTTGAGGTTGTAGTTATTGATTAGGCTGTAGTTATTGATTAGGCTGTAGTTATTGATTAGGCTGTAGTTGTTGATGAGGCTGTAATTGTTGATGCTGAGGCTGTAGTTGTTGATGCTGAGGTTGTAGTTATTGATTAGGCTGTTATTGTTGATGAGGCTGTAGTTATTGATGCTGAGGTTGTAGTTGCTTTGATTAGGCTGTAGTTGTTGATGTTGAGGTTGTAGTTATTGATTAGGCTGTAATTGTTGATGAGGCTGTAGTTATTGATGCTGAGGTTGTAGTTGTTGATTAGGCTGTAGTTGTTGATGTTGAGGTTGTAGTTATTGATTAGGCTGTAGTTTTTGATTAGGCTGTAGTTATTGATTAGGCTGTAGTTGTTGATGAGGCTGTAGTTGTTGATGCTGAGGCTGTAGTTGTTGATGCTGAGGTTGTAGTTGTTGATGAGGCTGTAGTTGTTGATGAGGCTGTAGTTATTGATGATGAGGTTGTAGTTGTTGATTAGGCTGTAGTTGTTGATGTTGAGGTTGTAGTTATTGATTAGGCTGTAGTTGTTGATTAGGCTGTAATTGTTGATGAGGCTGTAGTTGTTGATGAAGCTGTAGTTGTTGATGAAGCTGTAGTTGTTGATGCTGAAGTTGTAGTTGTTGATGAAGCTGTAGTTGTTGATGCTGAGGTTGTAGTTGTTGATTAGGCTGTAGTTGTTGATGCTGAGGTTGTAGTTGTTGATTTTAGGCTGTAGTTGTTGATGAGGCTGTAGTTGTTGATGAAGCTTGTAGTTGTTGATGCTGAAGTTGTAGTTGTTGATGAAGCTGTAATTGTTGATGCTGAGGTTGTAGTTGTTGATGCTGAGGCTGTAGTTGTTGATGAGGCTGTAGTTGTTGATGAAGCTATAGTTGTTGATGCTGAAGTTGTAGTTGTTGATGAAGCTGTAATTGTTGATGCTGAGGTTGTAGTTGTTGATGAGGCTGTAGTTGTTGATGCTGAGGTTGTAGTTGTTGATGAGGCTGTTGTTGTTGATGCTGAAGTTGTAGTTGTTGATGCTGAGGTTGTAGTTGTTGATGAAGCTGTAATTGTTGATGCGCTGAGGTTTTAGTTGTTGATGATGCTGTAATTGTTGATGCTGAGGTTGTAGTTGTTGATGAAGCTGTAGTTGTTGATTAGGCTGTATTGTTGATGCTGAGGTTGTAGTTGTTGATGAAGCTGTAGTTGTTGATGCTGAAGTTGTAGTTGTTGATGAAGCTGTAATTGTTGATGCTGAGGTTGTAGTTGTTGATTAGGCTGTAGTTGTTGATGCTGAGGTTGTAGTTGTTGATGAGGCTGTTGTTGTTGATGCTGAAGTTGTAGTTGTTGATGCTGAGGTTGTAGTTGTTGATGAAGCTGTAATTGTTGATGCTGAGGTTGTAGTTGTTGATGAAGCTGTAGTTGTTGATGCTGAGGTTGTAGTTGTTGATGCTGAGGTTGTAGTTGTTGATGCTGAGGTTGTAGTTGTTGATGAGGCTGTAGTTGTTGATGCTGAGGTTGTAGTTGTTGATGCTGAGGTTGTAGTTGTTGATGAAGCTGTAGTTGTTGATGCTGAGGTTGTAGTTGTTGATGCTGAGGTTGTAGTTGTTGATGAGGCTGTTGTTGTTGATGCTGAAGTTGTAGTTGTTGATGCTGAGGTTGTAGTTGTTGATGAAGCTGTAGTTGTTGATGCTGAAGTTGTAGTTGTTGATGCTGAGGTTGTAGTTGTTGATGAGGCTGTAGTTGTTGATGAGGCTGTAGTTGTTGATTAGGCTGTAGTTATTGATGCTGAGGTTGTAGTTGTTGATTAGGCTGTAGTTGTTGATGCTGAGGTTGTAGTTGTTGATTAGGCTGTAGTTATTGATGCTGATGTTGTAGTTGTTGATTAGGCTGTAATTGTTGATGCTGAGGTTGTAGTTGTTGATTAGGCTGTAGTTGGTTGTTGTTGATAGGATTGTTGATGTGGTTTGTAGTTGTTGTAGATATATTGATGAGATTGTAACAGTGGATAATGTGGTTGCAGTTATTGATGAGATTGTAGTTGTTGTTGAGGTTGAAAGAATTATTGACATTTTCAAACATAAATAATTATATATGTACAATGTATATTAGTATAAAATATTAATATATAATAAATTTTCAATCATAAAGACTTTTATATGTAAATTAGTACAAAAAAACTATAAACATAAAGAATTTTATATGTGTACTAGTATTTAAAACTTTCAAACATAAAGAATTTCTATATGTACATTAGTATAAACTTTCAAACATAAAGAATTTTTTATGTAAATTAGTATTAAAAACTTTCAATCATAATTTTATATGTATTTTAGTATTGAAAACTTTCAGGCATATGTCAACGTAGACAGTAGACAGTAGACATTTTATTTTATTCCAATAGGCTATAAAGCCCATGCGGACATAAATCATGCACAATAACGAACAGTGTAATGACATAAACATATATACATAATATCAACAATCATGAAAAGAAAAAGACAAAGTTTGGAGAAGATCAATTTTGATTGATAAAGTCATTACCAGCCGAAAATATTCTTAAGTAGTTACATAATAAACATTTCCAAATCAAAATTGATCTTTGAACCACTAACTTATAGATCTATTATATATACATATAAACATACATACACACATATACATGCACATACATACAAAAAACAAAATATCAATTACATGAGCCATTTATGCAAAATTTGTTGTAAATTAATTGAATTTTAATACATAAACGCATTGCCATATATTTATACACACATCCTAAAATTTAAAGTCCCTTCGCATCAATTGCAGATTTAATAATTGTAACAAATCTTTATCTTTCATTTTGGATTTTTGAAAACTTCGAAAGTCCAATTTCAAAAGTGATTTGGCTATTCATGTTAAGTTGCAAAGAGACCTTTGAGCTGACTTAATTGCTAACCTTATCATATAAACATGACATTCATATCAATAGAAAACATATTATATATAATTATGTACAAACGTTTTAATTTTCTCCATAATTATATCTGTCTTGCCGAAACGAAAGTGCAAGACAAATCATATGGATATTATGTATTTTTTTTTTTAACATGAACATTACAACTGGACAAATTTGCATTGTTAATCATGTAGCAAAGTATTTCTAATAATAAATGCTTTGTTTATATATATTCCTAAGTTTTTAAGTATGTTCTTATTTTCTGAGTTCATAAGATCTACAAATTTATACATGCTAGGCCGTATCCAAATATTTTCTGGCAATATATTTTTTCCTAATATCAATGTACATTACACATTCAATAATAAAATGATATTCATCTTCTACCTTATTACATGTTATACATTTTCTATCACTAATAGGTGTTCTGGTGGGTCTGGTCCATCGACCGGCTTCAATGTGTAATCTGTGAGATGATACCCTTAAACGAGTAAATGATTGACAAAATTTATGAATATTAAAGCATTCCAAATATAGTTGAAATCTAAATGATGCAATTGTTTTATAAAATAGAGCCCTACTTGATTGGTTAAGTCTTGCATTCCAGTTCTGTATAAATTGATCACTTAATCTTTGTTGAACAACAGAAAGAAACATTTCGGTATTACCAACGCCTTGAAAAATCCACGCATCAACAAATCCAAGATAACATAGTAAATCTTTCAATAATGTACACCAGTTTGTTTTATTTGGACACAATTCTACATCCGTCTTCAATAAATTATAAACAATAAAGATATATTTGTTTTGTTTTGCTTGCAAAATTCGTAACCAATATTTGATAGCCTTAAACATTTGTATAGTTTTAAATGATACTCTGCCTAACTCGCCATATATGAAATCATTCTGTGTAGACTTTTTTACACCAAGTAATTTTTTGCAAAATTGCAAATGTACTTTCTCAATAGCTAAATTATTTGCAAAAACAACAACTTCACAACAATAGTTCAAGATAGGGGATACAAGCTTATCGAACAATTCTAGCTTATGTTTTGGAGGTATATAGGTAAACTTATGTAAGTATTTATTCAAAGTAAAAATAGCTTTTTGTGCTTGCCCAGCTAATGTATTTTGAGCAGTAAATAGCGAACCTCCTGTAGTAAATACCACACCTAAGTAACAAAACTTACTAACAATTTCAATGGGATCATTATTATAATTAAATATCATGCTACCAGGAATAGTACCACCTTTTCTAAATATCATAATTTTAGTTTTAGAAACATTCACTTTAAGCTTCCATTTAAAACAATAATCATATAAAATATCTATACTACGTTGCAATTCTTCGGCTGAATTTGCAAAAATCACAATGTCATCAGCATACAACAACATAAATATTTTGAACATATCAACATCTATTCCATCTGCCTTGTTATGAATGAATATATCTTCTAGATCATTAACAAACATGGAAAATAAAAAGGGAGATAAACACTCCCCTTGTCTCACGCCCAGCATACATGTGTATTCATCACTTAACTTATTGCAATACTTAACTCTAGACTTAACAGACTCATAAATTGATTTTACAATGTTGAAAATATTACCTCTAAGCCCTAACTGTATCAACTTGAACCAAAGATTTTCACGAACTACATAATCAAAAGCTTTGTATAATCAACAAACAAAGTAAAAAGTTGTTTCCCTTGATTAAGAATATGGGTTATTAAGCCATTAAGTACAAAAATATTTATCTACAGTGCTCATATTCGCCCTAAATCCTGCCTGTGCTTCTATATATACATTATATTTTTCGGCCCAAAGTTTTCAACCTATTATTTATAATTCGTGTAAAGAGTTTACCAAGACTGCTTAATAGTGTAATACCACGATAATTATCCACATTGTTTACACTTCCCTTTTTATGCAGTGGAATCACAAAGCCTTCAGACTACCTTGTCGGAAAATAACCAATTTCAAAAATCTTGTTAAACAATATATAAAACACATTCTTCAAAACATCTTTGCCTGTAGTAAAAAACTCATTTATCAAACAATCTGGACCCCCTGACCTATTATTTTTTAGTTGTTTAATGGCTGTTGTTATTTCAGTAACAGATATACACGTGTTTAATTCATTGAACATAATTTTAAATTCATCATTTTCATATCTTTCAACAAAATATATAGCATCTTCATCAGGTGAAAAATAACATCATCTAGATTGTTAACAGCTTTAAAATACTTCTCAAACAACGACATTGATATATTAGACTGTTTAATACCGCAGCTTCCTTCAACATATTCCAATATAAACGTGCATTTTTGTGTCTATTACTTAACAATTTATTTGTTTTTTCTTTATCGTAATTGTATCTACATTTTCTAATGGTTGACTTATAATCTGACCTGGCTTTTACCATATTTACTCTCGTACACTCGTTTTGATTCATTCTGTATTGATTAAGACATATATAAAAATATTTTTCTTTTTCAAAACATTCTTCGTTAAACCAGGGCTGCGTGCTTTCAGAGTTAACATAACTGTTATTATTGAACAAATGTTTTTAACAAAAAGGGGAGGCTACTTTATTAAAAATGCCTTCAAAAACATGTATACAATTATCGATATCATCATGTGACGTGCTAGCTATTATATTGCTCGTTAAATCATGTAAATCTCTTAAGCTGTCATCGCTCTCTAAATTCTCAATATATGTATTTTTTAAATCGTGTTTTCCATACATACTTATGATTTATACTCTCAAAATTGTTTTCATCACAAATATCATCATTATTTTCCGTTATATAGTCAAATGAATATGTAACTGACAATAAACAATGATCCGATACAATATTTGGTAAATCAATATAAAACATAGAAATATTATCAAACATACTACGCTTGCATAATAAATAATCCACCACACTACGTCCTCTGTTACTTACAAAAGTATATTTCCCTAACATATTATCGTTTCCTTTTCTACCATTAACAAATCTGTAACTTGTTTGCCTACAAAAATCTAGCAAAAGCCTACCGTTATTGTTTACATGACCCTTATCTTTCAGAAAACCTCTGCATAGCAATATCAGACTGGTACCCTTCAGGCAAATAATCAATATTAAAATCACTCATAGTATCATTT